AGATTTTATTCCAACTGATTTTGAAGAATTTCTGTTGGTCCATTCCTCATGAATTTTCACACAATGTAAAGGGTTTGTGTACTCAAATAATGTAGAAAATTAAAAAATCAAAAAAGAAATGAAATTCCTTTTTTCGTGTTTTTGGACAGTGACTATATGTTGCACACATTTACATTAGTTGGTTACCAAGGAAGCACACCATTTATTACAGTCGGAGGCAGCAATGCTGACTCTGGGTGGGTGCAAGGCATCAAGAAAAGGGCTTAAAATGACTTCTGAGTTGATCACCAAATAGCAGCTTCACTAAAAACAAATGCTTTGAATCTGCCCTTTGTGGATAAGATTGAAGCTCTAAACAGACTCACCCCTCAGTACCTGAGTGAACTTCTCTCCCACTATGAACCATCACGCCTACTTAGATCACAAGGTGCTGGCTTACTTTTAGCACCTAAAATTAATAAAGTTACATGGCCTTCTCATACAAAGCCCCCCAGCTTTGGAATAGTCTTCCTGTTAATGTTTGGGACTCAGACACAGCCTCAGTGTTTAAGTCTAGGCTAAAAACTTGTATAGTCAAGCCTTTGGTAATTAGTTTTCCCTGTCAGATCCAGACCTGACGGAGTCTCTGCTGCTCTGTTTATACTGTAATCTGTGATCAGTCACTCATTACAGAACTGACTCTTTGTGTGTTTTCCTTTCTTTGCCGAGTTGAACAGCTGCCCATCCTGTGTGTCTGATGCTGCTGCCTCTTCTGCCTTGATCGGGTGCCACTGCTCGCCAGCCTTCTGGACCGGCTTGACCACCATTGAGCTTCATGCTGTACAATGCTGTGCAATCCTCCGATGCTGCTGCTGCCTCTGCATAATCATAAACTAATCAAATTAACCATTGCCCCACTTGTTTTTCCCACTTTGTACTATAATACCTCTACTAAAAATGTTTGCTATCCGGTGTTGACCAGAGGAGGATGGGTTCCCCTTCTGAGTCTTGGTTCCTCTCAAGGTTTCTTCCTGTTTCTTAGGGCGTTTTTCCTTGCCACTGTCACCACTGGCGACGCTCATGGGGGGCTTGGACCCAGATTTTCTTTCTGTAATGCTGTTTTTTTTTTTCTTTCTGTAAAGCTGCTTTGTGACAACACCCGTTGTAAAAAGCGCTATATAAATAAACTTTGCTTGCTAGCTTGCTTGCTGATTGATGTACATGTTTTCTATTATCTTTCAGTCAATGGTGAATTGGGTTCTAGTAGAGCTAGACCTTCTTTCAAGCATAAATGTCAAAACTCCTCTACGATAATGCCTGCTAGCATCACTATAATTACTAATAGCATTTTAGCACTAAGCTAACAGCAATTCCCATGAAATTTGTTGGCCATTTTAGATTAAACATGGAACTGTTTTACTTTCCCAACAACTACACTCTCAAAAATATGGTTCTTCAAGGGTTCCTTAGTAAAGAAAATGGTTCTATATAGAACCTTGAACATTCAAAGAACCCTCTGCATGATTAAAGGGTTCTTTGCATCATGAAAGGGCTCTTCAGGTTGATGGAGAATGTGCTGTAGCTATATAGTTCTGTATAGAACCTTTTTGTTGTTCTATATAGCACCCAAAGCAGAACCCTTTTGGGTGCTATATAGAACCCTTTTCAAAAAGCCCATGGCTCATAATAACACATAGTGACATATCTAGAACCTCAGAAGGACTAGAGTGACATTTTTTCTCACTCATTGTAAATAAGAGTGTGATTGGTTTATTCCCCTGTCACTCCCTAATTATGTTGGTAGTTAATGTAACATGTAAGGCCTCCTGAAGTCCTAACCAATGGGAAAGCAGCTCAGCTGTATCTACTTAGATACCACAGAGAGAACAATCTTGATAATTTTCTGTTGGACTCTAACCCTTCTAACCCTTTTGGGCCCAACCAAACTTGAAATAAGAGAATTACTACAACACTTACAGAGTTTAAATACAACAAGCTTGATGGTTCTATTAAACAAAATTGGATGAAACATCGCAGATGTGTATTTCACAGAATCATTAGGCCTTCTCTGACCATCTAGAAGACGCTGAGGTTTCCAAATGCTTCTAGTTTACGCACTTATGGTGTTAAAGCTATATATTTATACATGTGAAACCTATGTATAACCTCTAACTGACAGCAGTTGCACAATATTGGCTTTCTACATTCACACTAATGTAATGTTTGCACTCACTACACTGCACTGCTCTGTATTTGCTCACCTCAGACAGTACTAGTTTGCAGCCTCACACTTCAGCATCTCATTATGTTATTAGTTAAAATACAAATCTGCTGTTGTGAGGCAATATAAGACTCTTAATTCTGCTTGCAAGGATGGCTGAAATGTATCTGCTAGCAGTATGAAACATGTTTAACCACCCCACATCCTCCACCCCTCCCCATGCTTTGGAGAAGCTTCATGCAAGTGTCCAAACTCCAGCTGAAGTTGTTTTTTTTTCCCCCTGTGATGAAAGGTATTGATTCTGCTGACCCTGAACCAGCAGGCAAATTCCAGACAAACAAAGCCTTCTTAGAAGCGGCTGGCTGCCTCAGAGCTGGCACGGATCCTACAAAGGCCATGCTAGGGAGAAACATAATGGTATCACTTTACAATAAGACCAGACTCTTAAAAAGATGTGCTTCAAGGGTTCTTTGGTACAGACAATAGTTCTACATAAAATCATGAATGCTCAAAGACCCTTGCATGCATAAATGGTTCTTTGCATTGAGAAATGGTTCTTTAGATTGAGGGAGAATGTGTTGTATATGGTTCTATACAGAACCAAAAAGGGTTCTGCTATTGTATACAAGCTTAACATCAATAATAGGAGAAAACTTGAAGAACCATTTCACCATGCAAAGAATTGTTTAAGCATGCAAAGAAAGGCAAGTTTATTTTTATAGCACCTTTCATACAGAGTGGCAATTCAAAGTGCTTCACACAAACAGAAAAATAAAAGCATTAGATGATAATACAGCTTATAACATTCCTGAGATCCAGCCCCTCAGAAAGACTTCTGCTAATATAGTTACAAATGCATAATTAAAAGAACAAAGTAGGAAGTGATGAAAACACAGTTAAAATAGTCAAACAACAACATCTGAGGTTTAACAGCGTAGACGAATGTGAGCTGACTAACAAGTTACTGTTGCCCTTTTTATTGATATGTTATAAGTACTTTTTAAGTAAGGTTTAATTAAGGTTGATGACATTTATAAACTAATTTTAAACAACTGAAATGTCTTAATATAAAGTGGTACCACATTAATTAACTTCCACATTTCTGGACAAAATATACAAAATTGATTAATAAGAATATGCAAATGCAGTAATAGTCTAGAAAGTGTTTAATTAATGAGATGAAAGCAATAAAAAGAATACAAACACAATATAAAGTGTGCAGTGGATGTAATTTGACATGGAATTACTCTTATGCTAAAATCAACTGGCCATTCTTAAATCTCATGTTACAGTATCTCCTGCTGTAGTTCCAGAAGTCCAGACCTCGAACAACTTCACACAGCACAAGACTGATACAGGTTATAGAGGACGCTAGTTCATGTAAGCGTCCTTGTTCTGGTTTGAGTAATTTCTACCTAAAAGGGAACCAGATCTCTAACTGGCGCAGCATGAAGATACAGTAGGTGAGAATCCACAGCAGCAGAACCGTGTGCAGCACCTCAGTCTCAGAGTTTATAGTGTCTTCAAGCACAGTGATACTCAAATCCCTGCAAAATAGAGAGAATGTTTAAGCTATGAGTATAAAAGCAGACCTAATGACATAAAAATGTAGCTTCAAAGATATCTACACACTTAAAAAAAGATGGTTTAGTGAAGAAAGTGAACACTCAAAAAACCTTTTGCATGATTAAATGGCTCGTTGCATCGTGAAAGGGTTTTTCAGATTGATGGAGAATGTGCTGTATATGGTTCTATACAGCACCAAAATGGGCTCTGTGGCGCAATGGATAGTGCATTTGACTTCTAGACATAGGTTTGAGGCCATTTAAAGGTTGTGGGTTTGAGTCCCACCAGAGTTGGAAGTTTCTTAATCTTAAAAAATAAAAGAAGAAAAAAAAAAACTGCTCCCCGGGCGCCGTGGATAGGGCTGCCCACTGCTCTGGGCAAGTGTGCTCACTGCCCCCTAGTGTGTGTCTTCACTAGTGTGTATGTGGTGTTTCACTGCATAGATGGGTTAAATGCGGAGGTGAAATTCCCCATTGTGGACTAATAGGGGTCACTTAATTGTAATCTTAATCAAAAAAGGGAGAAAATCATAACAATAAAATAACTCTTTTCTCAAGCACATTTCTTAAAACAAGCAAAATTATCTGCCAATATAATGACATAAATTTACTTAATAAAATCACTTAAAACAATAAATGATGCCTAGAAATAAGTTAAATAATCTTAATTTAAGTTTACAACGATCTCAGCAATAGAAATATAAATTTATTGACTACATTTATGATCGTTTTACTTAAGATACCATTTTTTGCAATGTTTATGTTATGATGTTATGTGTGTACAGCTGTTCAAAACTGTTTGCTAGTCATGTACTCATGTGCTGTGTTTTTGAGTACAAAATAAGACTAAAAATAGTCACTAAAAATATTATCAATTGAAAATGTAATGTAATGTAAAAACATTCTGTACAGGTAAATTCATTTAATACCACCTCTTATCACTTACTTTGCAGTCATCTCAGCTACAAAGCTGAAATGAGTCTGTTGTGTAAAGTTTCTTGGTTGAGGTTGGTCTTCATCTTCTAGGCTGTTAATCTCACTGAGTTTATCTTCCTTTCTAAATGCATCCTCTGTTAAACTCTTCACTGCAGACAGTGACTGAAGGTCTGTGCTATCGCTGGAGATAACATTGTGAAGACCACCTTCTTTTGAAGAAGTATTGACTTTATTTAAGCCCTGATCTCTCTCACTGTCTTTGTGTTTTTTGTTGTTGTGAAACTTATTTAGGTCATCATTCAGGGTGCAAGTGTTGGATGTTCCTCAAGTGTTTCTCTGCGGCCTTCTGACCAGGGTTGGCGACTTTGCTTCTGTATCTCCAAAAATGGACCTAAATGGTGGCTTTTCCCATCTGCTTGATGAAAATCATTTGATATGTGATGGGCTTTTTGAGCATTGATGGTTGGACTAGAGTTGAGCTCATTATGAAGCTTCAATTCTTCATGATCCAGTTCTAAAATGTACTTGTATGCAACCTCCTCATCTGAGTCCAGCTCAGGCAGAATGTGTATGCCTTCCTCTGAACCATCTGATAGGCCTCCATCATCATCCTCCATACTCGCTGAAAGGCTCTTCTTCTGGGCTGTGGAGTTCCAACAGTGCCCCTCGATGGAACTGTGGAGGTACTGTCCATTTGAGAAGCTGGATTTCTCTGCCACTCCCGAACCACCATTCAATAAACCAGCTGACTTTGGGCCTCTGTAAGAGGAGGAGATATCAAACTGCTGTGAAGAGAAATCACGTTCTACCAGTGAAGAGTAGGACAGTGAAGAACGTCCATAAACTCCACTGGGGTTATATTCCTCCAGACTCAGTGTTGATACATGAACCTGCACATAAACAACATGAAGCAAAATAATCAGGATGAGAAATTAATGTAATATTTGACATAATTAATTGAACTGTTCTGTCGAGGTGGATACCAAACAGTGAAATGTGGTTTTACCTTTTCTACAAGTTCTACAAATTGCTAAAAAATGGACTTTAACGTAAATGTACTGATTCTTTTCATTTATTGTTGTTTGCACATCTCTAGAAAACATTAGATATACCACAGCAACCATCAGCAACTCCTTAACAACCACCTGGAATGCCATAGCAACCACCTAGTGCAGGGGTTGGCAACCCAAATGTTAAGAAGAGCCATTTTGTCCCTTTAACAAAAATCAATCCACCTTGGGAGCTTCAACATTTTATGTCCGTTTTACCATCTTGGCTGTAAATATGTCTCAGTATGTGCTAATGTACTAGCATAGGCTAAAAAAATTGAATCTAAACGAAAACACAGACTTACTTTGCTCTGCTTTAAGCTTGAGCTTAGCTATAGCCGGTTTTCTCACATCACTGGCAGGAAACTTTTCCAAAAGTAGAATAGTTTCTTGTAAAATGTTTCTCAACGTTCGACTTTTTATGAGGCTGGATTCAGCTTCTCATTCACCAGCTTCTTGTTCGAAATTTCCCATTTCACCTTAAATGGTGCCTGAGGTGCCAAAATGTAACTGCTGCAGCATTTAAGGTGGAACAGGAAAATTCAAACAAGAAGCTGGTAAATGAGAAGCTGACTTCAGCCTTGTGACTTTTTAGTGTTTGACATTTTCTCGTCGCAGACTAAATGTATCAGGAAACTAGCTGGAGTTATTTAAGAGCAAATAAGTTCATTCACCTCCAAATTATTGATGTTTGTCTTAAATCTTTCTCTTTGTCGTTTCATTAGCTACTAGCTTGTTGACTGTTATCTGTGTTGCTATGGTGACCAGCACTCTGTGTACTAATCTTTAGGGTTAAAGGGTGAATTAGCAGTTCTACATTAACTCCAGCATTTTATTGTTAAACTGTGTTAGAATGACCGGCAGAGCTTTATTTTACTGCAAAGGAGGATTATTTTATTTTTACCTAAAAATCTAATTCTGCTGTGGAGCCGTAACAGCGCAGTAAATGAGCCGCATGTTGCCGACCCCTGACCTAGCGATACCCTTGCAACCTTAGCAACCACCTTGAATGCTGAGCAACCACCTAGCAACCATCAGAGAAACCATAGTAACCAGTTAACACCAGTTATTTCCAGTTATTATTCTTATCATTTTTATTAAAATAATTAAAGTTTTAAAATTAGCAACATTCAGGGAGTTACTCACATCTCTGTTCTCTGGGAAATGCTGGAGGAACTGAGCCACATAGGTGATGATGGACTGCTCATCTGGAGAACGCATCATCACATCTGCACCATAAAACATCCAAGCAGAATCAAAGAACAAACTAAAACTTCATTTCAAGGCAAATTCTATCTTTAATACTTTACAGGGTCAAAAAACAATCAAAAACAAGGTTGATAAAAGAAGCAATGAGGCAGATTACTGATTATAACTGTAATCAGCAGTGTTAATTATAATACAATATGGTTGTAATATATAATAAATAAATACATTAACCCCTGATTTTAAAGTAGTAGTGCAAAATTCATAGCAGTTCACAAATAATTCATAGTAAATACAAAATAATTCATTGTAGATAGTGGATAATTTATAATCGATACTGGATAATTCATAGTAATTGCTAAAAAATTAATTGTACATACTGAATAATTAATTGTAGATATCGAATAATTTATAATAGATACTGAATAATTCATAGTAAATACTGAATAATTTATAGTGGATACTGAATAATTCTTATTAAATACTAAATAATTCATTGTAGATACTGGATAATTTATAATAGATACTGGATAATTCATAGTGGATACTGAATAATTCATAGCAGATACTGAATAATTCATAGCAGGTACTGAATAATTTATAGTAGATACTGAATAATTCATAGTAGATACTGAAAAAGTCACAGTAGATACTGAATGATGTATTGTAGATATTGCATAATTCATAGTGGATACTGAATAATTCATAGCAGATACTGAATAATTCATAGCAGATACTGAATAATTCATAGTAGATACTGAATAATTCATAGCTGATACTGAATAATTCATAGTAGATACTGAATAATTCAAAGTAGATATTTGATAAATTAATTGTACGTACTAAATAATTCATAATAGATACTAAATAATTCATTGTATCAGTTACATCAGCAGTAATTACAAAACAATTTAAAATAGTTACTGAGTTATTATTCTTAAATAATCTCTATTCTTATTCCAACCTAAGATTTATTATTAGTATCTACATGAAAACTGTGCAAATTGTCATTCTTTTTTCTTAATTCATAGGAGTGAAGAGAAGAAGCTCTACAGCTCCTGGACCTTTAAATGGTTAAAGTATCAATACTGAACCACTAAATGCTTTTAAATATCTCAACTCCTGATCCTGTTTATGCTAAACATCCAAACTGAAAGGTGTTGCATGTTCTACCCTCAGGTTCCAGCAGTGGTGGGACTCCCAGATGGTGCTGTGCTTCTCTGAAGGCCTGAATGATGTTCTCTCTGGGGCTGGAGGTCAGAGCTTCTTTCATGTCCACCAGCTCAGGCCTGGCACACTTCACCAGCGCCAGAAGCGCTAACCCACTCCTCCAGCTTTTCCCAAAGTCATGGACCTCCACACCATACCTAAACACAGAACACGGAACTTTCATAAATGAGGTTTCTGTAAGAATATTATGAGATTATTCAACCTGTTTCTAGACTTACCAAGAGAAATGATCTTGTATATATGTAATATTGGCAAAGTAATTTTGCTTTTTTCAAGCAAAACTGCTTAAAGGAAGCAAATTTACCTGCCAGTCTAATGATATAATTTTACCTAAGAACAGCTTTTGGAATTGTCAGAAGAGTATTCTAAGATAATTCTATTATTATTATTATTATTATTATTATTATTATTATTATTTCAGGACATGTGTATCTCATTACATCTAGTGAATTTGTCTTATTGTGTTGGCAGATAACTCTGCTTGCTTTAAAGCATCATGTATAGAAGCCCAGTTTGCCCTTATTCATTGTTTCTTTCTGTATTGCATACCAGAAACAGCCAGAAATATTTCTAGCATTACTTCTACAATTTTAGGCATCAAATCTCTTTTTTCTACCTCAAATATATATATATATATATATATATATATATATATATATATATATATACAAAACCCCATTTCCAAAAAAGTTGTGAAGCTGTGCAGAATGTAAATAAAAATAGAATGTATGTTTTAGAGTTTAAATTAGCATTTGTGGATGCAATGATGAACTGTGTTCACAGAAAGTGGTTTTCAGCAGTGTTCCTGAGCCCCTGCAGTGATGTGCTCTACAGAATCATGTCTGTTTTTAATGCAGTGGTGCCTGAGGGCCTAAAGATCACGGCCAGCAAATACTGGTTTTTGGCCTTGTCCCTTACATACAGAGATTTCTCCAGACTCTTTGAATCTTTAATGTTATTATGTACTGTAGATGATGAAAAGTTCTTTGCTATTTTATGTTGAGAAACGTTATTCTTGAATTGTTGCACTATGTCTGTGCAGTCTTTCACAGAGTGGTGAACCCCTCCTCATCTTTACTTCTGAAAGACTCCGCCTCTCTGGGATGCTGTTTTTATACCCGATCATGTTACTGACCTGTTGCCAATCAACTACCAGATGTTTCTTTTGCATTACACAACTACCAGCCTTTTGTTGCCCCCGTCCCAACTGTTTTGGAACGGGTTGTTGGCATCAAACGGATTAAACTAAATAACAGAAATAACAGTTAATACAAGTGACGGCGGAAAGCTGTTTTTTCTATTTTATTTTTCTCACCTCTTTCTTGATCTGTTACCCTTATTTATTTTTTTGGGACTGTATAAGAATTTACTGTCTGAATGGAAATGGAAAAGAAAGAAAGACTTACTTTCTCGTTCATAAATAGTTCTGGGTTTGAAAGTGCAGTTCTATAAAATTAGAATCAGTATAGACCGTTTGATTGTGTTGGTTCTTTAATCTTTAAAAAGGCTCTTCACTCTTACAGTCTGTGAGGACTGCAGTCCCTCCTGTTCACCACCTGAGGGCAACACAGAGTTCTTTTCTCCCCTTCAGCAACTAAAAAAAAGATGCTTCTTTAAGGGTTCTTTAGTAAAGAAAATGGTTCTATATAGAGCCATAAACACTCAAAAAACCCTTTCCATGATTAAAGGATACTTTGCATTGTGAAAAGGTTCTTCAGATTGCAGAGTGCTGTAGATGGTTCTGTAGAACCTTTTTGAAAAAGGTTTTGTAATGTGGAGAGTTTAATTCTGGATGGTTTATTTTTCCAATAAAAACTGGTTGTTGCAGTGTCCAAAGATTTGAACCAAACAGCTGGGGGTTGAATGGGGATCATTGAAAATAAATAGGTTATTTTAAGTAATACTGTCATTTTGATTGCAGCTATTCTACCGAGAAGGGAGAGGGGAAGGTTTGTCCAACGTTGAAGGTCATCAGTTATTGTTTTGGTTAATGGATTAAAGTTAAGTTTAAACAACTCTGACAGCTTGGGGGAAATGATAATACCCAGATATGTGATGTAATTAGTGCATACAGGGACGGGTAGTGTTTTAATTTTATCATTAAGCTTATTCATATTTAATGGAAGGATTGTGGATTTTGACCAATTGATGGAATATTCTGAGATTTTGAATAAGTTTTGATAGTTTGAATAGTTTCTGTTATTGATGTGATTGGGTTTTGCAAGAAAAGCAAGCTATCATCAGCATACAGGCTAATTTTGTGTTCCATGTTAGAAGTTTGTATTCCTTTCATATTTATGTTTTGACGTATTGTGGCTGATAGTGGTTCGATAAAGATAGAGAAAAGGTATGGAGAGAGTGACTGTTAAACCGTTTTAAACCATATTAAACCTGTGTTAAACCCTGTTAAACCTGTGTTACACCCATGTTAAAGCCAGGTCAGATATCAGCTCTGTCCTTACTGTGCAGTGCATGTCTGGGTCCAGCTCAGCAGTGTGCTGATGGACCTGCTGCGGTAGTATTTGGGCCGACCGAATGTTCTTTTCCTCTTTGATGGGAGAGTGCTGCAGGGGTCTTCACTGGGGGGCGCTGGAGAGCTGCGGGCTGAGTCACTGCTGTCAGTCAGAGACACCAGACTGGACACACTGGAGGAAAAGCGTCTCTCTAGATTTCCTGTGACTTCCTTTAACTATCAGAGGAAAAAAAATCACGATTAGACCTGATCAAAGACATCAAAGAGATCTAAGACTAGAATAACTTTATTACAGCAAATAAACCACAAATTATATGAATGATTTAATTGCACAGAATTGTTTTCTTCTATAATGTGTAACAACGCTGTTATTTGTTGAATTTTACCTAAACCATAACGTAAAAAAATAATTATTACTATAACTGTAAATGTTTTATAGATTATATATCATTGTATTATATAAATGTATTAATAATAGTTTAAATAAATAGTTCATATTAATCATAATAATGATAATGCTGGCAACAAATTAACTGGATAATAGTTTCATAATTGATGATAATTAATGTTCTGTTCATGTTACTCTTTACCTGAAAGTAAACTATGATATTCCAGATCAGCGCGAGAATGACCGAAGGCCGTCCGTCAGCGATGTCTGCGGCGTCTATATTTACAACTCTCACCTACAATAAAAATACTTATTATATGAACGTGCAAAATAATAAAATCATTCACAGAAATTAAATTTAGACAACTGTCCCCTTTTCTGAAGTAAGTTTTGAAAAAAAAAGGTATGGACATGTATTATATATTTGAAATACATTCCAAACACCAGTCCAAAATTTCAGACACCAAACTTGGAGGTCAGCAAAATATGATGAGGACATATCACACAAACAGGACTCACATTTCTGTCCTCAAGGAACTCCAGCACTTTAGCAATGTTGCTGAGGGTGAAAATGCGATGTGTAGATGGTCTGAACCTGTCAAGCTGGAGAGAACATTGACATCTCTGATTAAAGACTCTTATACATAAAGTCCTACCAACCTCCACAACGACACCCAGCAAACACCTTAACATGCTAATGTTTCTACACACAGTAGCCATCTTAAAGCCTGTGCTGCAAAAAATAGCATCTTCTCAAATGAAATGATCTTAAATCGTGTTAGTATATCCACTATTTCTCTGTTGAGAAGCTTAAAATTAAAATTAATCTGATTTATGCTAGTTTATACTGGTCAAATGCTGGTCTAAGCTGATTTATGCTAGTTTACGCAAATCTAAGCTGTTTTATGTGGAAAGGGACCACTGTATGACAACCACTGTCCAGATATTTTTTGGGTGGTGAACCATTCTGAACACAGCAAGCAATGACATTGTAGTGTGTGTGTGGTGCTGGTACGAGTGGATCGGGTGTTTGGTAGGTGTTTCTATTAATATGACCAATGAGTATCATACTTTTTTTTCCATTATTTTGTGTTATTTATATTGTAAATTTAATTTAAACTTTAATTGTACGCTTATTATATGATTATTTAACCTATTCCTTGATTTTGAAGTAAAGTGATCTCTCTGTACTGACAGATAATTTTGCTTGTTTTATCATTTTTTGTCACCATCGGTTTAAATATTTACTATTATTTTATGATGAAAATTATGATGATGATGATTTTTATAAATAATAATAATAATAATAATAATAATACTAAGCAGCAGCATATATAGATAAATAAATGACGACATAAAGCCTCACCATCTTACAGCCTGACAGTTTCCTCTATCAGAGCCATCAAAATCTTTCCATCCTGAACATCTGTAAACAAATGGTCCACCTGCAGCGGAGGGTCACACTGACAGAGAAAGCTCATTCAGATGTTAGAATGCAACACATACAGTTTCAGTCAAAGTTCGGACCCTCCTGACTGAGAGTATGTTTTTCATAATCTTAAAGACACCCCTCCCTTTCCAAGCGTGTAGTAGAACCTACAGTGGCTTTCAGGTTTTCTGCCGTCATCCGTCCTGATTTTGTTTTGCTTCTTCATGTTTTCTTCACCCTCGCTCACTTTTTGTTGTGCTAAATAATAAGTTTGATCCTCCACTTGTCAAAATTTGGGCTCTCAAATTTCTCACAACACAAAATGGTCATCCAGCACCGGCAGCAACCACTTTCTTTCTACGTCTTCTGACCAGAGCTACAGCACCACCAAATTCAAGCTGTCACTTCAGTGTAAAAAACGTGAAAGGCGCCCTCTAGAGCCAGTGTTTATTCTGTTCTGGGCTGCTGTAGAAACATGGCAGCGCTACATGGTGGCCTCTGTTGGAAGAGGAGCCGCTTCCTATGTAGATATGAACAGCTTATTCTAACATAATAAAAACCAATTTGTAGTTACAGGTTATACACTAATTAAAACGTATTCATTTCTGCTAATAGATCCACCGAAATCTTACACGCTGCACCTTTAAATGCTTAAAATGTGTTCTAAGACAAATAACCAGTGAAGACAATGCTTATGCATGAATGTATTTCCAAAACAAACATTTTAAATGTAAAAAAGCATCTCAGGTGGCTCCTCATGAATCTCCTGAGAGAATGCCGAATGCCTATTTTGGTCACCATATAATTCCACATATCCTAATTATTTTAAAAAAATGTGGAAAATCATGAAAATTGTCCATTTTATCAGCTCCACTGACCATATAGGAGCACTTTGTAGTTCTACAGTTACAGACTGTAGTCCATCTGTTTCTCTGATACTTTGTTACCCTGTTCTTCCATGGTCAGGACCCCCACAGGACCCCCACAGAGCAGGTATTATTTAGGTGGTGGGTCATTCTTGGCACTGCAGTGACACTGACGTGGTGGTGATGTGTCAGTGTGTGTTGCGCTGGTCTGAGTGGATCAGACACAGCAGTGCTGCTGGAGTTTTAAACACTGTGTCCACTCACTGTCCACTCTATTAGACACTCCTACCTTGTCAGTCCACCTTGTAGATGTAAAGACAGAAACGATAGGTCATCTGCTGCTGCACAGTTTGTGTTGGTCATTCTCTAGTTCTTCATCAGTGGTCACAGGACGCTGCCCACAGGACGCTGTTGCCGGATATTTTTTGGTTCTCAGTCCAGCATGACACTGAGTGTGTTTAAAACTCAGCAGCACTGCTGTGTCTGATCGACTCACACCAGCACAACACACACTTACACGCCACCACGTCAGTGTTACTACTCTCAGTGTTACTGAGAATGATCCATTGGTCATTTTACTGTTAGCTTGTTCATGAAGACAAAAAGTCTCACTCTTTTCAGACGTGAGTTGATCCAGCGTGTGAAAGCTTGTTTCCGGACCGCTTCTCTGGCTCCTGGAGTCAAACACAGCAAACAGATTTACCAACAGATTAAAAGCCATAGGGGCCTCTTCACAGCACAGCTGCAGATTCAGAGATTTGGCACTCACTCGTACGTTTTCATTACTTAAAGAATTGCTAACATGCTAGTATGGCTCGCTGTGAGTGAAAGGGCATCAGTTAGCATGACCTGACCTAACCCTGACACCAATCTGACTGCTCCTCTCAGTGTTCAGTCATTACTCCAAAAAATCTGAAATTATTTGCATACTCAGAATCAGCTTCTACTGACTGGTTTTAAATACTCCAAGCTTACGTATTCACTGTAGCATTCATTTTGCCTTCTCATATGCAAAATTAAATGTATTTACATATATTCATCAAAGTATCTCTCATTTTGTTTGTTTGTAATATCTTTCCATGTCTTTGACATAATTGTAATATTAAAAATGACACTATTACACTCATCCACTTCTTGAAATAAGACATAACAAAACACATGTATCTCAATTTTTTTATTGCTTTTTTGCTTTTCTCTCTCTTTTTTAAAGTTAATTTGTCCTTTCTATGAACATTTTGTGATGAATGGACCAAAAGAAATGGGCCCACTGTGCCGCCTCATTTATTGATTACATTTTTTTTATAATTTACTGCTATGAGTATTATTACTTTTTAGCATTTGTCTCAATCCCTGATGTTTGTAATGGCTCAGCTACACTGTAAATAAGGGTCTCCCTCAATGTACTGCAAGTTTAAATAAAGGGTCATTCATTGATTGACACTTTTTTTTCTTTGGACAGCGACGATTTATGTAATGTACCTTTGTGTGTATGTTTTATATATTTAGCACCTACTGAATATAGTATGGATACTTTTAATATAAGGAAACGAATGTTGATTCAATTTTCTTCCATATGGTTTTATGGTTTTCATTAATGCTTTCTTCTCTTAGCACACATTTTGTGAAGTACCTTGTTTTTGTTTTTTTTTTGTACATAAAGTGCTACAGAATTAAATATAACTATTTCTGTTATTGTAGGTGAAGCACTCATTTAAGAATGCACTCAGAGTGCAGGTGAGAACACGTACTGGCTGGATTTCGTCCCATCTGGAGGAGTAAGTCAACTATTCTACATTCTTAATAATGAAGAAAGGCTCTAAATGGTCCTTGAAGTGGAGGTATGGTTCCAGGAAAAACCTTTAACTGGTTTAGAACCTTTATATTATAAATAGAGTGATTCATGAGTGGTTTGGTGTAAAATGATCCATTCTAGAAAAACTTACCTGTTAGTCAGAATTGTTCACAGTGATGGCACCAGACGTCCTCTTCTAAAAGCTCCATCACAGAAAGGTATTACATAAAATGGTTATGAATTCACTGCCTGATGTCTGAGACACTGTTTTATGATAGTTTTGATACTTAAAGTCCAAAGAAACCCCCAAAGAAAACATATTATTTCAGATTTTCCACTATTTTAAATCCTCATTATTCCATATAAAACTCAAAAGACTCGTGTAGGTTCACTGGTGGTTTTGGATAGTAAATAAAATGTCTATATTTGTGTTGTAGAGTTTGCCTGTTCTCCCCGTCTCTGTGTGGGTTTCCTCCGGGTACTCCGGTTTCCTCCCACAGTCCAAAAACATGCAGTCAGGCTGATTGGACATGCTAAATTGCCCCTAGGTGTGAGTGTGTGTGTATGTCTGTCTGTCTGCCCTGCGATGGACTGGCGACCTGTCCAGGGTGTATCCTGCCTTCCGCCCAATGACAGCTGGGATAGGCTCCAGCACCCCACCGCGACCCAGAAGGATAAGCGGTTTAGATGACGTATGTATGTATGTATTTGTGTTGTAGTCATGGTGACCCCTGGTTCCTATCACCACCACTGTAAAGACATCTGAACCATTTCATACCAAACCACTCTAAATCACTCTGTTTACATCTGAAACAGTGAATAAGGTGGAATTTTGGAAAATTGGTGAATTCCCCTTTAAGAGTGTAGCCTATGGGGTAATACATTGGAATTTTAATGAAATAATCTACATTTCTAAGCTTTCCCTCCTTCATTTACTTTTTTCCACATAATTTAGAGTATGTACCTTATAATACGGCCCTAGAAAGGTGTATATTACAGGACTGAGTTAGCAGCCAAACAGCAGGGCCGTGCTACAGTAGATAAAGTTTGATTTGTGACACAAGAGTGAACCTGTCTGAACGTGTCGTCTCTTACCTCGACCTTTTGGGATTGTTTTGTCTTTCCTGGGCTCCGTAACTTTCTCACGCTCTAAGCGCCTGTCCACCAGGTGACCCGCAGGTGAGGACATTTCACTCAGGAGGCCGTATCCAGCGCAGAAAAGTGAAAAACTCGTGGCTGGATGTGAAGCATAGTGCACACGCAGTTCCCTCTGCATGCCTTGCCTGTACACGCCTGCACTCACCTGAATACCTGCGGTACCTGTTCACAGTGATTCACCGCCTGAAGAACTGTTTAAGGGCTTAAAGCAGATACACTTCTCTGTGATAGACACTTCACATCAAATCAAGACACAGCAAAAGAGTTATCAAAACATGAAACTATTCTTTTGTAAAATGAATAAATGCTTTTAAACTGTACTCTGCAGACCTCAAGAAAAAACTGACATACCACACAAAATCTCACCAGCTAAATATAATATCAGCTGTTTGACTGTTGAGTGTCACTCTTTACATTCATTACAGCTTCTATTCTTTTCAGGAGACTCTCTTTCAGTTTTTCACAGAAATGTGCAGACACACCTCCAAAGTTCAGTCATCAAAGTTGGTTGAATCAGGCCCTCTAGTGCTGCCTATAATATGTTTTTCTGTGTTGTGCATTACAAACACATTTACTGTATATTATAGTTCCAGATTTTTCCTCCAAGCCAAAAACTATATTTTTCTATTTTGCCTGAAAACTCCAATACATCCAAAATTTATGGTGAAATGGAATAATTACTTATATAATTACATACATACATTCATACATACATATATATTTTTTCTGGGCCTCAGTATATATAATATATAATATATATATAATATATGTAATATGATTAATGTGTGTGTGTATATATATCCTCCTGAGAGCCAGAAAAAATTAACTTTGAGAATTTGTATTTTTATAATATCATATTTTAAAATAAAATATGTCTATTGGCTGAAAAAAACTTGTCACAGTGATCACAGTTTTTATTTATTTTTTATGTAACATCCTTAATGGACAACAGAATGTTACACAGTAATTATGCTGATGTTTCTTGTTTCCTATACTGCATCAGACCAAAACCCTGTGGCAACATCAGCAACAACTTCAAAACCTGTCATCAATCGTCAAAGTCCTTATCACAATGTACTGCTCAAGTCATTCCAGGGGTCCAATCAGTACAGCTTTGGGTGTCATTTAGCAGCAAATTATTGCATGGTAGGGATGAGTCTTGGGTATAATGGAGAGGAAATAGAATTATTTATCTTTAATGTTTTAATTTTTAAATCTACAACTGTGAAGATTTTCTAATTAGGAAACTCAATAAAGCTCAGATCCCAAGTTTAAATGCCTGCATACATTCCAGTTATCCATTTAACAGTAAGATTTAAAATACTGGCTGTACAAAAAAATGAGGACCAAAAAGAAAAAAAAAATAGATACAGTAATATCACAGTAATGTATTTAACTGCTAAGCTTATATGTTGTTGTTTCTAACCCAAACTGGATCAGGAGGAGTGAGATCATCCTTTAATTTTCTCTACCTTACATTGTGCAAAGTATGTGTCTTAAGTTAAAGTGCTGAGTGCAGCAGCAGTTAAAGGGTGTATAGTGGCAAAGAAAGGGAGAAGTGAGTAAACAGTCAGATAAGGCAGGTTAGTAAGTTGCTAGAAAAAACACTGGTCAGAGACGGTACTTTCAGGGGATGGAATGTTGAGTGGTATACTATATACCAATATATTTAGAAGTGCAGTTTAGACGATGGGAGTGTCTAACAGAGTGGACAGTGAGTAGACTCCAGCAGCACTGCTGTGTCTGATCCACTCATACCAGCACAACACACAATAACACACCACGACCACGCCAGTGTCACTGCAGTGCTGAGAATGACCACCCCCCCTGTTTCAGTATGCACTGAAACAGATGGACTACAGTCTAAACTGATAAAATGGTCAGTGTGTGTGTGGAAACAAGGTAGGTGTTCCTAGTAAAGGCCTCAGTAAATGTAGGTTAATCTAGGTGCATGGATCAGCAAGAAAGTATTCAGTCTGCACCTGACAATCACCAAGTGAGTTCTCTGTGCTTCACCACCACACGGCCAAATCAAATCAATCAAGCTTTGTTTTCACTTGGAAAAACATTGAGGGAGACTCTCATTTTCAATGTATCTGAGCAATTACAACATTAAATTCAGTGTAATCTCTTTAATCAGGTTAAACTAAAATGAACAAAAATACACAAACAATGACCAGAAAAACTGATGTGATGCATGGCAAAACAATGAGAGAGCAATTAAGATTTGATTAAAAATTTCACTACATGGTCATTTCATTTTACAGTGTTAATGTGTCACTCAACAGCTCCTTATTATGCCTCTTTTTCCTCTCAGATCTTTTATAATTCTGAGAATGTCTTTACAAGTTGTTCCTCCACTTGAACTTGGTTCAGGCAGCCAAGACAGATCCGATCCACCTACAGAAAACAGAGAGAGAACAGGTCAGTACAGGAAGCAGCCATTACTGTAAGCAGCTGAAGCAGCTACACAGTAAGAATGTGGCAGCTCAAAGTGCCTGAGAGGTCAGCTCGTCCTCACAGACAATATCTAGCTGCTCATCTGCTCTGCCCGTTTGTAGATCAGTAACAGTACAGGCCAACCGTTACCGCCGTGGAAACCAAAGGGTGAATCTGTAGGAAGAATATCGCACGAAACACCTCGCCGCCTCCAGAGGCCTCGCCTTCGGTTTCTTCCATCAGTCTGGGCAGTGCTGCTGGGTCACTCGCCATTGATGGGAGAGGACCATGCAAGAAAGACCGCAGCACTGCCACATTAAAGAGCCAATAACATACATTTTTAGTCTTTACTCATAAATAGAAACACTTATTTATTTTTTACATTTTAAGAACTAAAACTCAGCATGTAAAAGTGCAGCTTTCACAGTAAAATCATTTTAAACGTAGTAATGAGAATTTTAGAATTTCACTGAATGAAAGAGCCTTTTGGCTAATCTGGCAGAAAGCAAAGAGCTTATCACAAAAGATTTTTTTTTTTTTTATTATTTTTTTTTTTTTATTAATTTTTTTTTTTTTTTTTTTTTACATTTTCTTTTTTTTTTATTTTTTTTATAATTTTTTTTTTTCTTTATTATTTTATTTTTGCTAATTTTTTATTTTTTTTTAACATTCTTTTAAAAAATAAAAAAAACAACTCAAAACAAATAAAAAAAAAAAAATAACCCACCCTTACGGTTTAGCTTGTATTATCTCCTTCGTCTATCTGCTCGCTTTCTGCTTTGCTAGTTATCGACTTTTGTGAGGAATTGACGGTGCATGACTATGGGGTTCTTCTTTAGTTCCTCTATTTAGTATCAAATTCAGTTAAAATATGTAAAAATCTTTTTGTGATAAGCTCTTTGCTTTCTGCCAGATTTAGCCAAAAGGCTCTTTCATTTAGTGAAATTCTAAAATTCTCATTACTACGTTTAAAATGATTTTTACTTGTGAAAGCTGCACTTTTACATGCTGAGTTTTAGTTCTTAAAATGTAAAAAATAAATAAGTGTTTTCTATTTATGAGTTAAAGACTAAAAATGTATGTTATTGGCTCTTTAATGTGGCAGTGCTGCAGTCTTTCTTGCATGGTCCTCTCCCATCAATGGCGAGTGACCCAGCAGCACTGCCCAGACTGATGGAAGAACCGAAGGCGAGGCCTCTGGAGGCGGCGAGGTGTTTCGTGCGATATTCTTCCTACAGATTCACCCTTTGGCCCTGTTTCCACGGCGGTAACGGTTGGCCTGTACTGTTACCGATCTACAAACGGGCAGAGCAGATGAGCAGCTAGATATTGTCTGTGAGGACGAGCTGACCTCTCAGGCACTTTGAGCTGCCACATTCTTACTGTGTAGCTGCTTCAGCTGCTTACAGTAATGGCTGCTTCCTGTACTGACCTGTTCTCTCTCTGTTTTCTGTAGGTGGATCGGATCTGTCTTGGCTGCCTGAACCAAGTTCAAGTGGAGGAACAACTTGTAAAGACATTCTCAGAATTATAAAAGATCTGAGAGGAAAAAGAGGCATAATAAGGAGCTGTTGAGTGACACATTAACACTGTAAAATGAAATGACCATGTAGTGAAATTTTTAATCAAATCTTAATTGCTCTCTCATTGTTTTGCCATGCATCACATCTGTTTTTTCTGGTCATTTGTTTGTGTATTTTTGTTCATTTTAGTTTAACCTGATTAAAGAGATTACACTTGAATTTAATGTTGTAATTGCTCAGATACATTGAAAATGAGAGTCTCCCTCAATGTTTTTCCAAGTGAAAACAAAGCTTGATTGATTTGATTTGGCCGTGTGGTTGGTGAAGCACAGAGAACTCACTTGTGTGATTGTCAGGTGCAGACTGAATACTTTCTTGCTGATCCATGCACCTAGATTAACCTACATTTACTGAGGCCTTTACTAGGAACACCTACCTTGTTTCCACACACACACTGACCATTTTATCAGTTTAGACTGTAGTCCATCTGTTTCAGTGCATACTGAAACAGGGGGGGTGGTCATTCTCAGCACTGCAGTGACACTGGCGTGGTCGTGGTGTGTTATTGTGTGTTGTGCTGGTATGAGTGGATCAGACACAGCAGTGCTGCTGGAGTCTACTCACTGTCCACTCTGTTAGACACTCCCATCTTCTAAACTGCACTTCTAAATATATTGGTATATAGTATACCACTCAACATTCCATCCCCTGAAAGTACCGTCTCTGACCAGTGTTTTTTCTAGCAACTTACTAACCTGCCTTATCTGACTGTTTACTCACTTCTCCCTTTCTTTGCCACTATACACCCTTTAACTGCTGCTGCACTCAGCACTTTAACTTAAGACACATACTTTGCACAATGTAAGGTAGAGAAAATTAAAGGATGATCTCACTCCTCCTGATCCAGTTTGGGTTAGAAACAACAACATATAAGCTTAGCAGTTAAATACATTACTGTGATATTACTGTATCTATTTTTTTTTCTTTTTGGTCCTCATTTTTTTGTACAGCCAGTATTTTAAATCTTACTGTTAAATGGATATGTATGCAGGCATTTAAACTTGGGATCTGAGCTTTATTGAGTTTCCTAATTAGAAAATCTTCACAGTTGTAGATTTAAAAATTAAAACATTAAAGATAAATGAATTCTATTTCCTCTCCATTTATACCCAAGACTCATCCCTACCATGCAATAATTTGCTGCTAAATGACACCCAAAGCTGTACTGATTGGACCCCCTGGAATGACTTTGAGCAGTACATTGTTGATAAGGACTTTGACGATTGATGACAAGGTTTTTGAAGTTGTTGCTGATGTTGCCACAGGGTTTTGGTCTGATGCAGTATAGGAAACAAGAAACATCAGCATAATTACTGTGTAACATTCTGTTGTCCACTAAGGATGTTACATAAAAAATAAATAAAAACTGTGATCACTGTGACAAGTTTTTTTCAGCCAATAGACATATTTTATTTTAAAATATAATATTATAAAAATACAAATTCTCAAAGTTAATTTTTTCTGGCTCTCAGGAGGATATATATACACACACACATCATATATATATATATATATCATATATATATATATATATATATATATATATATATATATATACTCCTGAGGCCCAGAAAAAATATATATGTATGTATGAATGTATGTATGTAATTATATAAGTAATTATTCCATTTCACCATAAATTTTGGATGTATTGGAGTTTTCAAAAAAAAAAAAAAAGGCAAAAATAGAAAAATATAGTTTTTGGCTTGGAGGAAAAATCTGGAACTATAATATACAGTAAATGTGTTTGTAATGCACAACACAGAAAAACATATTATAGGCAGCACTAGAGGGCCTGATTCAACCAACTTTGATGACTGAACTTTGGAGGTGTGTCTGCACATTTCTGTGAAAAACTGAAAGAGAGTCTCCTGAAAAGAATAGAAGCTGTAATGAATGTAAAGAGTGACACTCAACAGTCAAACAGCTGATATTATATTTAGCTGGTGAGATTTTGTGTGGTATTTTTTTTTTTTGTCAGTTTTTTCTTGAGGTCTGCAGAGTACAGTTTAAAAGCATTTATTCATTTTACAAAAGAATAGTTTCATGTTTTGATAACTCTTTTGCTGTGTCTTGATTTGATGTGAAGTGTCTATCACAGAGAAGTGTATCTGCTTTAAGCCCTTAAACAGTTCTTCAGGCGGTGAATCACTGTGAACAGGTACCGCAGGTATTCAGGTGAGTGCAGGCGTGTACAGGCAAGGCATGCAGAGGGAACTGCGTGTGCACTATGCTTCACATCCAGCCACGAGTTTTTCACTTTTCTGCGCTGGATACGGCCTCCTGAGTGAAATGTCCTCACCTGCGGGTCACCTGGTGGACAGGCGCTTAGAGCGTGAGAAAGTTACGGAGCCCAGGAAAGACAAAACAATCCCAAAAGGTCGAGGTAAGAGACGACACGTTCAGACAGGTTCACTCTTGTGTCACAAATCAAACTTTATCTACTGTAGCACGGCCCTGCTGTTTGGCTGCTAACTCAGTCCTGTAATATACACCTTTCTAGGGCCGTATTATAAGGTACATACTCTAAATTATGTGAAAAAAGGTAAGTGAAGGAGGGAAAGCTTAGAAAGGTAGATTATTTCATTAAAATTCCAATGTATTACCCCATAGGCTACACTCTTAAAGGGGAATTCACCAATTTTCCAAAATTCCACCTTATTCACTGTTTCAGATGTAAACAGAGTGATTTAGAGTGGTTTGGTATGAAATGGTTCAGATGTCTTTACAGTGGTGGTGATAGGAACCAGGGGTCACCATGACTACAACACAAATACATACATACATACATCATCTAAACCGCTTATCCTTCTGGGTCGCGGTGGGGTGCTGGAGCCTATCCCAGCTGTCATTGGGCGGAAGGCAGGATACACCCTGGACAGGTCGCCAGTCCATCGCAGGGCAGACAGACAGACATACACATTCACACACTCACACCTAGGGGCAATTTAGCATGTCCAATCAGCCTGACTGCATGTTTTTGGACTGTGGGAGGAAACCGGAGTACCCGGAGGAAACCCACGCAGACACGGGGAGAACAGGCAAACTCTACAACACAAATATAGACATTTTATTTACTATCCAAAACCACCAGTGAACCTACACGAGTCTTTTGAGTTTTATATGGAATAATGAGGATTTAAAATAGCGGAAAATCTGAAATAATATGTTTTCTTTGGGGGTTTCTTTGGACTTTAAGTATCAAAACTATCATAAAACAGTGTCTCAGACATCAGGCAGTGAATTCATAACCATTTTATGTAATACCTTTCTGTGACGGAGCTTTTAGAAGAGGACGTCTGGTGCCATCACTGTGAACAATTCTGACTAACAGGTAAGTTTTTCTAGAATGGATCATTTTACACCAAACCACTCATGAATCACTCTATTTATAATATAAAGGTTCTAAACCAGTTAAAGGTTTTTCCTGGAACCATACTTCCACTTCAAGGACCATTTAGAGCCTTTCTTCATTATTAAGAATGTAGAATAGTTGACTTACTCCTCCAGATGGGACGAAATCCAGCCAGTACGTGTTCTCACCTGCACTCTGAGTGCATTCTTAAATGAGTGCTTCACCTACAATAACAGAAATAGTTATATTTAATTCTGTAGCACTTTATGTACAAAAAAAAAACAAAAACAAGGTACTTCACAAAATGTGTGCTAAGAGAAGAAAGCATTAATGAAAACCATAAAACCATATGGAAGAAAATTGAATCAACATTCGTTTCCTTATATTAAAAGTATCCATACTATATTCAGTAGGTGCTAAATATATAAAACATACACACAAAGGTACATTACATAAATCGTCGCTGTCCAAAGAAAAAAAAGTGTCAATCAATCAATGACCCTTTATTTAAACTTGCAGTACATTGAGGGAGACCCTTATTTACAGTGTAGCTGAGCCATTACAAACATCAGGGATTGAGACAAATGCTAAAAAGTAATAATACTCATAGCAGTAAATTATAAAAAAAATGTAATCAATAAATGAGGCGGCACAGTGGCCCATTTCTTTTGGTCCATTCATCACAAAATGTTCATATAAAGGACAAATTAACTTTAAAAAAAGAGAGAAAAGCAAAAAAGCAATAAAAAAATTGAGATACATGTTTTTTTTTTTTTGTTTTGTTATGTCTTATTTTCAAGAAGTGATGATGTGTAATAGTGTCATTTTTTAATATTTACAATTATGTCAAAGACATGGAAAGATATTACAAACAAACAAAATGAGAGATACTTTGATGAATATATGTAAATACATTTAATTTTGCATATGAGAAGGCAAAATGAATGCTACAGTGAATACGTAAGCTTGGAGTATTTAAAACCAGTCAGTAGAAGCTGATTCTGAGTATGCAAATAATTTCAGATTTTTTGGAGTAATGACTGAACACTGAGAGGAGCAGTCAGATTGGTGTCAGGGTTAGGTCAGGTCATGCTAACTGATGCCCTTTCACTCACAGCGAGCCATACTAGCATGTTAGCAATTCTTTAAGTAATGAAAACGTACGAGTGAGTGCCAAATCTCTGAATCTGCAGCTGTGCTGTGAAGAGGCCCCTATGGCTTTTAATCTGTTGGTAAATCTGTTTGCTGTGTTTGACTCCAGGAGCCAGAGAAGCGGTCCGGAAACAAGCTTTCACACGCTGGATCAACTCACGTCTGAAAAGAGTGAGACTTTTTGTCTTCATGAACAAGCTAACAGTAAAATGACCAATGGATCATTCTCAGTAACACTGAGAGTAGTAACACTGACGTGGTGGCGTGTAAGTGTGTGTTGTGCTGGTGTGAGTCAATCAGACACAGCAGTGCTGCTGAGTTTTTAAACACCTCAGTGTCACTGCTGGACTGAGAACCAAAAATATCCGGCCAACAGCGTCCTGTGGGCAGCGTCCTGTGACCACTGATGAAGAACTAGAGAATGACCAACACAAACTGTGCAGCAGCAGATGACCTATCGTTTCTGTCTTTACATCTACAAGGTGGACTGACAAGGTAGGAGTGTCTAATAGAGTGGACAGTGAGTGGACACAGTGTTTAAAACTCCAGCAGCACTGCTGTGTCTGATCCACTCAGACCAGCGCAACACACACTGACACATCACCACCACGTCAGTGTCACTGCAGTGCCAAGAATGACCCACCACCTAAATAATACCTGCTCTGTGGGGGTCCTGTGGGGGTCCTGACCATGGAAGAACAGGGTAACAAAGTATGCAGAGAAACAGATGGACTACAAAGTGCTCCTATATGGTCAGTGGAGCTGATAAAATGGACAATTTTCATGATTTTCCACATTTTTTTAAAATAATTAGGATATTTGGAATTATATGGTGACCAAAATAGGCATTCGGCATTCTCTCAGGAGATTCATGAGGAGCCACCTGAGATGCTTTTTTACATTTAAAATGTTTGTTTTGGAAATACATTCATGCATAAGCATTGTCTTCACTGTTTATTTGTCTTAGAACACATTTTAAGCATTTAAAGGTGCAGCGTGTAAGATTTAGGTGGATCTATTAGCAGAAATGAATACGTTTTAATTAGTGTATAACCTGTAACTACAAATTGGTTTTTATTATGTTAGAATAAGCTGTTCATATCTACATAGGAAGCGGCTCCTCTTCCAACAGAGGCCACCATGTAGCGCTGCCATGTTTCTACAGCAGCCCAGAACAGATAAACACTGGCTCTAGAGGGCGCCTTTCACGTTTTTACACTGAAGTGACAGCTTGAATTTGGTGGTGCTGTAGCTCTGGTCAGAAGACGTAGAAAGAAAGTGGTTGCTGCCGGTGCTGGATGACCATTTTGTGTTGTGAGAAATTTGAGAGCCCAAATTTTGACAAGTGGAGGATCAAACTTATTATTTAGCACAAGAAAAAGTGAGCGAGGGTGAAGAAAACATGAAGAAGCAAAACAAAATCAGGATGGATGACGGCAGAAAACCTGAAAGCCACTGTAGGTTCTACTACACGCTTGGAAAGGGAGGGGTGTCTTTAAGATTATGAAAAACATACTCTCAGTCAGGAGGGTCCGAACTTTGACTGAAACTGTATGTGTTGCATTCTAACATCTGAATGAGCTTTTCTCTGTCAGTGTGACCCTCCGCTGCAGGTGGACCATTTGTTTACAGATGTTCAGGATGGAAAGATTTTGATGGCTCTGATAGAGGAACTGTCAGGCTGTAAGATGGTGAGGCTTTATGTCGTCATTTTATTTATCTATATATGCTGCTGCTTAGTATTATTATTATTATTATTATTATTATTTATAAAAATCATCATCATCATAATTTTCATCATAAAATAATAGTAAATATTTAAACCGATGGTGACAAAAATGATAAAACAAGCAAAATTATCTGTCAGTACAGAGAGATCACTTTACTTCAAAATCAAGGAATAGGTTAAATAATCATATAATAAGTGTACAATTAAAGTTCAAATTAAATTTACAATATAAATAACACAAAATAATGGAAAAAAAGTATGATACTCATTGGTCATATTAATAGAAACACCTACCAAACACCCGATCCACTCGTACCAGCACCACACACACACACTACAATGTCATTGCTTGCTGTGTTCAGAATGGTTCACCACCCAAAAAATATCTGGACAGTGGTTGTCATACAGTGGTCCCTTTCCACATAAAACAGCTTAGATTAGCGTAAACTAGCATAAATCAGCTTAGACCAGCATTTGACCAGTATAAACTAGCATAAATCAGATTAATTTTAATTTTAAGCTTCTCAACAGAGAAATAGTGGATATACTAACACGATTTAAGATCATTTCACTTGAGAAGATGCTATTTTTTGCATAAGGCTTTAAGATGGCTACTGTGTGTAGAAACATTAGCATGTTAAGGTGTTTGCTGGGTGTCGTTGTGGAGGTTGGTAGGACTTTGTGTAGAAGAGTCTTCAATCAGAGATGTCAATGTTCTCTCCAGCTTGACAGGTTCAGACCATCTACACATCGCATTTTCACCCTCAGCAACATTGCTAAAGTGCTGGAGTTCCTTGAGGACAGAAATGTGAGTCCTGTTTGTGTAATATGTCCTCATCATATTTTGCTGACCTCCAAGTTTGGTGTCTGAAATTTTGGACTGGTGTTTGGAATGTATTTCAAATATATAATACATGTCCATACCTTTTTTTTTTCAAAACTTACTTCAGAAAAGGGGACAGTTGTCTAAATTTAATTTCTGTGAATGATTTTATTATTTTGCACGTTCATATAATATGTATTTTTATTGTAGGTGAGAGTTGTAAATATAGACGCCGCAGACATCGCTGACGGACGGCCTTCGGTCATTCTCGCGCTGATCTGGAATATCATAGTTTACTTTCAGGTAAAGAGTAACATGAACAGAACATTAATTATCATCAATTATGAAACTATTATCCAGTTAATTTGTTGCCAGCATTATCATTATTATGATTAATATGAACTATTTATTTAAACTATTATTAATACATTTATATAATACAATGATATATAATCTATAAAACGTTTACAGTTATAGTAATAATTATTTTTTTACGTTATGGTTTAGGTAAAATTCAACAAATAAAAGCGTTGTTACACATTATAGAAGAAAACAATTCTGTGCAATTAAATCATTCATATAATTTGTGGTTTATTTGCTGTAATAAAGTTATTCTAGTCTTAGATCTCTTTGATGTCTTTGATCAGGTCTAATCGTGATTTTTTTTCCTCTGATAGTTAAAGGAAGTCACAGGAAATCTAGAGAGACGCTTTTCCTCCAGTGTGTCCAGTCTGGTGTCTCTGACTGACAGCAGTGACTCAGCCCGCAGCTCTCCAGCGCCCCCCAGTGAAGACCCCTGCAGCACTCTCCCATCAAAGAGGAAAAGAACATTCGGTCGACCCAAATACTACCGCAGCAGGTCCATCAGCACACTGCTGAGCTGGACCCAGACATGCACTGCACAGTAAGGACAGAGCTGATATCTGACCTGGCTTTAACATGGGTGTAACACAGGTTTAACAGGGTTTAACACAGGTTTAATATGGTTTAAAACAGTTTAACAGTCACTCTCTCCGTACCTTTTCTCTATCTTTATCGAACCACTATCAGCCACAATACGTCAAAACATAAATATGAAAGGAATACAAACTTCTAACATGAAACACAAAATTAGCCTGTATGCTGATGATAATAATCCAGCATAGAAATCCAGTTCAAACATTTCCTGAATCTGTAGAGTTGCCCTGTCCACTGTCCATTCAATCTTATCTCGAGATCCTACGTGACTCACATCACTGAGTTACTCAACAAAAAAGGTTCTTCTGTTGTTACGAGCTTGACATCGTATCAGTAGCGAAACCAATTTTAGTGCTATATAGAACCTTTTTCAAAAAGGTTCTACAGAACCATCTACAGCACTCTGCAATCTGAAGAACCTTTTCACAATGCAAAGTACCCTTTAATCATGCAAAGGGTTTTTTGAGTGTTTATGGCTCTATATAGAACCATTTTCTTTATTAAAGAACCCTTGAAGAACCATCTTTTTTACGAGTGTATAAGTTCCTGAACTGAACAAACTGATCTTACAGTGTTTTGTAAAATGAATTAATCTGATAAGAGAAATAAAGGTATTGTTTTGATATGAGATCATTTCACTTGCTAAGACTGCAGGTCTTAAAGAGAGAATCACAGGTGAGGTGTGTCAGTGAAACACAGGTGATACAGATAGTTGCTGAAGTGGAGAAAAGAACTCTGTGTTGCCCTCAGGTGGTGAACAGGAGGGACTGCAGTCCTCACAGACTGTAAGAGTGAAGAGCCTTTTTAAAGATTAAAGAACCAACACAATCAAACGGTCTATACTGATTCTAATTTTATAGAACTGCACTTTCAAACCCAGAACTATTTAAGAACGAGAAAGTAAGTCTTTCTTTCTTTTCCATTTCCATTCAGACAGTAAATTCTTATACAGTCCCAAAAAAATAAATACGGGTAACAGATCAAGAAAGAGGTGAGAAAAATAAAATAGAAAAAACAGCTTTCCGCTGTCACTTGTATTAACTGTTATTTCTGTTATTTAGTTTAATCCGCTCAGAGGAGCAAAATGGAGGAAAAACATCAAACCAAGAGTTTAAAAAAAAACATGAGCAAACAAGAACCAGCTCTGATGGAGAGAGAAACAACCAACAGGATATATAGAATATTATAATTGTGGGGTGATGAGGATGGACAGGAGCAACAGAGGCAGCATCAGAGGTTGATACATTTAGATGGTCTGGGGAGCTAAATGGCTAACAATTAGCATAAGTCTTCTTTTTCACCCGGTCTCTGAAGGGTAAGGGGGAAAAACAGCTGCCCATGTGCAAATTGTTTAAACCCTATATTTTATTGAAAAAAGTACAAAGACTACATATCAAATGTTGAAACTGAGAAATTTTATTGTTTTTTCTAAAAATATAAGCCCATTTTGAATTTGATGCCAACAACCCGTTCCAAAACAGTTGGGACAGGGGCAACAAAAGGCTGGTAAAGTTGTGTAATGCAAAAAAAAAACAAAAAAGAAACATCTGGTAGTTGATTGGCAACAGGTCAGTAACATGATTGGGTATAAAAACAGCATCCCAGAGAGGCTGAGTCTTTCAGAAGTAAAGATGAGGAGGGGTTCACCACTCTGTGAAAGACTGCACAGACATAGTGCACCAATTCAAGAATAACGTTTCTCAACATAAAATAGCAAAGAACTTTTCATCATCTATGGTACATAATAACATTAAAGATTCAAAGAGTCTGGAGAAATCTCTGTATGCAAGGGACAAGGCCAAAAACCAGTATTTGCTGGCCGTGATCTTTAGGCCCTCAGGCACCACTGCATTAAAAACAGACATGATTCTGTAGGGCACATCACTGCAGGGGCTCAGGAACACTGCTGAAAACCACTTTCTGTGAACACAGTTCATCATTGCATCCACAAATGCTAATTTAAACTCTAAAACATACATTCTATTTTTATTTACATTCTTCACAACTTTTTTGGAAATGGGCTTTTGTGTATATATATATATATATATATATATATATATATATATATATATATATATATATATATTTGAGGTAGAAAAAAGAGATTTTGATGCCTAAAATTGTAGAAGTAATGCTAGAAATATTTCTGGCTGTTTCTGGTATGCAATACAGAAAGAAACAATGAATAAGGGCAAACTGGGCTTCTATACATGATGCTTTAAAGCAAGCACAGTTATCTGCCAACACAATAAGACAAATTCACTAGATGTAATGAGATACACATGTCCTGAAATAATAATAATAATAATAATAATAATAATAGAATTATCTTAGAATACTCTTCTGACAATTCCAAAAGCTGTTCTTAGGTAAAATTATATCATTAGACTGGCAGGTAAATTTGCTTCCTTTAAGCAGTTTTGCTTGAAAAAAGCAAAATTACTTTGCCAATATTACATATATACAAGATCATTTCTCTTGGTAAGTCTAGAAACAGGTTGAATAATCTCATAATATTCTTACAGAAACCTCATTTATGAAAGTTCCGTGTTCTGTGTTTAGGTATGGTGTGGAGGTCCATGACTTTGGGAAAAGCTGGAGGAGTGGGTTAGCGCTTCTGGCGCTGGTGAAGTGTGCCAGGCCTGAGCTGGTGGACATGAAAGAAGCTCTGACCTCCAGCCCCAGAGAGAACATCATTCAGGCCTTCAGAGAAGCACAGCACCATCTGGGAGTCCCACCACTGCTGGAACCTGAGGGTAGAACATGCAACACCTTTCAGTTTGGATGTTTAGCATAAACAGGATCAGGAGTTGAGATATTTAAAAGCATTTAGTGGTTCAGTATTGATACTTTAACCATTTAAAGGTCCAGGAGCTGTAGAGCTTCTTCTCTTCACTCCTATGAATTAAGAAAAAAGAATGACAATTTGCACAGTTTTCATGTAGATACTAATAATAAATCTTAGGTTGGAATAAGAATAGAGATTATTTAAGAATAATAACTCAGTAACTATTTTAAATTGTTTTGTAATTACTGCTGATGTAACTGATACAATGAATTATTTAGTATCTATTATGAATTATTTAGTACGTACAATTAATTTATCAAATATCTACTTTGAATTATTCAGTATCTACTATGAATTATTCAGTATCTGCTATGAATTATTCAGTATCCACTATGAATTATGCAATATCTACAATACATCATTCAGTATCTACTGTGACTTTTTCAGTATCTACTATGAATTATTCAGTATCTACTATAAATTATTCAGTACCTGCTATGAATTATTCAGTATCTGCTATGAATTATTCAGTATCCACTATGAATTATCCAGTATCTATTATAAATTATCCAGTATCTACAATGAATTATTTAGTATTTAATAAGAATTATTCAGTATCCACTATAAATTATTCAGTATTTACTATGAATTATGCAAGATCTACATCATTCAGTATCTACTGTGACTTTTTCAGTATCTACTATGAATTATTCAGTATCTATTATAAATTATTCGATATCTACAATTAATTATTCAGTATGTACAATTAATTATTTAGCAATTACTATGAATTATTCAGTATCTATTATAAATTATCCACTATCTACAATGAATTATTTAGTATTTAATAAGAATTATTCAGTATCTGAATTATTATTTAGTATCTCCTAAGAATTATTCAGCATCTGCTATGAATTATTCAGTATCAACTATGAATTATTCAGTGTCTACTATGAATTATTTTGTATTTACTATGAATTATTTGTGAACTGCTATGAATTTTGCACTACTACTTTAAATTATTCAGGGGTTAATATATTTATTTATAATATATTACAACCATATTGTATTATAATTACCACTGTTGATTACAGTTATAATCAGTAATCTGCCTCATTGCTTCTTTTATCAACCTTGTTTTTGATTGTTTTTTGACCCTGTAAAGTATTAAAGATAGAATTTGCCTTGAAATGAAGTTTTAGTTTGTTCTTTGATTCTGCTTGGATGTTTTATGGTGCAGATGTGATGATGCGTTCTCCAGATGAGCAGTCCATCATCACCTATGTGGCTCAGTTCCTCCAGCATTTCCCAGAGAACAGAGATGTGAGTAACTCCCTGAATGTTGCTAATTTTAAAACTTTAATTATTTTAATAAAAATGATAAGAATAATAACTGGAAATAACTGGTGTTAACTGGTTACTATGGTTTCTCTGATGGTTGCTAGGTGGTTGCTCAGCATTCAAGGTGGTTGCTAAGGTTGCAAGGGTATCGCTAGGTCAGGGGTCGGCAACATGCGGCTCATTTACTGCGCTGTTACGGCTCCACAGCAGAATTAGATTTTTAGGTAAAAATAAAATAATCCTCCTTTGCAGTAAAATAAAGCTCTGCCGGTCATTCTAACACAGTTTAACAATAAAATGCTGGAGTTAATGTAGAACTGCTAATTCACCCTTTAACCCTAAAGATTAGTACACAGAGTGCTGGTCACCATAGCAACACAGATAACAGTCAACAAGCTAGTAGCTAATGAAACGACAAAGAGAAAGATTTAAGACAAACATCAATAATTTGGAGGTGAATGAACTTATTTGCTCTTAAAATAACTCCAGCTAGTTTCCTGATACATTTAGTCTGCGACGAGAAAATGTCAAACACTAAAAAGTCACAAGGCTGAAGTCAGCTTCTCATTTACCAGCTTCTTGTTTGAATTTTCCTGTTCCACCTTAAATGCTGCAGCAGTTACATTTTGGCACCTCAGGCACCATTTAAGGTGAAATGGGAAATTTCGAACAAGAAGCTGGTGAATGAGAAGCTGACTTCAGCCTCATAAAACATTTTACAAGAAACTATTCTACTTTTGGAAAAGTTTCCTGCCAGTGATGTGAGAAAACCGGCTATAGCTAAGCTCAAGCTTAAAGCAGAGCAAAGTAAGTCTGTGTTTTCGTTTAGATTCAATTTTTTTAGCCTATGCTAGTACATTAGCACATACTGAGACATATTTACAGCCAAGATGGTAAAACGGACATAAAATGTTGAAGCTCCCAAGGTGGATTGATTTTTGTTAAAGGGACAAAATGGCTCTTCTTAACATTTGGGTTGCCAACCCCTGCACTAGGTGGTTGCTATGGCATTCCAGGTGGTTGTTAAGGAGTTGCTGATGGTTGCTGTGGTATATCTGATGCTTTCTAGAAATGTGTAAACAACAATAAATGAAAAGAATCAGTACATTTACGTTAAAGTCCATTTTTTAGCAATTTGTAGAACTTGTAGAAAAGGTAAAACCACATTTCACTGTTTGGTATCCACCTCGACAGAACAGTTCAATTAATTATGTCAAATATTACATTAATTTCTCATCCTGATTATTTTGCTTCATGTTGTTTATGTGCAGGTTCATGTATCAACACTGAGTCTGGAGGAATATAACCCCAGTGGAGTTTATGGACGTTCTTCACTGTCCTACTCTTCACTGGTAGAACGTGATTTCTCTTCACAGCAGTTTGATATCTCCTCCTCTTACAGAGGCCCAAAGTCAGCTGGTTTATTGAATGGTGGTTCGGGAGTGGCAGAGAAATCCAGCTTCTCAAATGGACAGTACCTCCACAGTTCCATCAAGGGGCACTGTTGGAACTCCACAGCCCAGAAGAAGAGCCTTTCAGCGAGTATGGAGGATGATGATGGAGGCCTATCAGATGGTTCAGAGGAAGGCATACACATTCTGCCTGAGCTGGACTCAGATGAGGAGGTTGCATACAAGTACATTTTAGAACTGGATCATGAAGAATTGAAGCTTCATAATGAGCTCAACTCTAGTCCAACCATCAATGCTCAAAAAGCCCATCACATATCAAATGATTTTCATCAAGCAGATGGGAAAAGCCACCATTTAGGTCCATTTTTGGAGATACAGAAGCAAAGTCGCCAACCCTGGTCAGAAGGCCGCAGAGAAACACTTGAGGAACATCCAACACTTTGCACCCTGAATGATGACCTAAATAAGTTTCACAACAACAAAAAACACAAAGACAGTGAGAGAGATCAGGGCTTAAATAAAGTCAATACTTCTTCAAAAGAAGGTGGTCTTCACAATGTTATCTCCAGCGATAGCACAGACCTTCAGTCACTGTCTGCAGTGAAGCGTTTAACAGAGGACGCACTCAGAAAGGAAGATAAACTCAGTGAGATTAACAGCCTAGAAGATGAAGACCAACCTCAACCAAGAAACTTTACACAACAGACTCATTTCAGCTTTGTAGCTGAGATGACTGCAAAGTAAGTGATAAGAGGTGGTATTAAATTAATTTACCTGTACAGAATGTTTTTACATTACATTACATTTTCAATTGATAATATTTTTAGTGACTATTTTTAGTCTCATTTTGTACTCAAAAACACAGCACATGAGTACATGACTAGCAAACAGTTTTGAACAGCTGTACACACATAACATCATAACATAACATTGCAAAAAATGGTATCTTAAGTAAAACGATCATAAATGTAGTCAATAAATTTAATATTTCTATTGCTGAGATCGTTGTAAACTTAAATTAAGATTATTTAACTTATTTCTAGGCATCATTTATTGTTTTAAGTGATTTTATTAAGTAAATTTATGTCATTATATTGGCAGATAATTTTGCTTGTTTTAAGAAATGTGCTTGAGAAAAGAGTTATTTTATTGTTATGATTTTCCCCCTTTTTTGATTAAGATTACAATTAAGTGACCCCTATTAGTCCCACAATGGGGAAATTTCACCTCCGCATTTAACCCATCTATGCAGTGAAACACCACATACACACTAGTGAAGACACACACTAGGGGGCAGTGAGCACACTTGCCCAGAGCAGTGGGCAGCCCTATCCACGGCGCCCGGGGAGCAGTTTTTTTTTTTCTTCTTTTTATTTTTTAAGATTAAGAAACTTCCAACTCTGGTGGGACTCAAACCCACAACCTTTAAATGGCCTCAAACCTATGTCTAGAAGTCAAATGCACTATCCATTGCGCCACAGAGCCCATTTTGGTGCTGTATAGAACCATATACAGCACATTCTCCATCAATCTGAAAAACCCTTTCACGATGCAACGAGCCATTTAATCATGCAAAAGGTTTTTTGAGTGTTCACTTTCTTCACTAAACCATCTTTTTTTAAGTGTGTAGATATCTTTGAAGCTACATTTTTATGTCATTAGGTCTGCTTTATTAACTCATAGCTTAAACATTCTCTCTATTTTGCAGGGATTTGAGTATCACTGTGCTTGAAGACACTATAAACTCTGAGACTGAGGTGCTGCACACGGTTCTGCTGCTGTGGATTCTCACCTACTGTATCTTCATGCTGCGTCAGTTAGAGATCTGGTTCCTTTTTAGGTAGAAATTACTCAAACCAGAACAAGGACGCTTACATGAACTAGCGTCCTCTATAACCTGTATCAGTCTTGTGCTGTGTGAAGTCATTCGAGGTCTGGACTTCTGGAACTACAGCAGGAGATACTGTAACATGAGATTTAAGAATGGCCAGTTGATTTTAGCATAAGAGTAATTCCATGTCAAATTACATCCACTGCACACTTTATATTGTGTTTGTATTCTTTTTATTGCTTTCATCTCATTAATTAAACACTTTCTAGACTATTACTGCATTTGCATATTCTTATTAATCAATTTTGTATATTTTGTCCAGAAATGTGGAAGTTAATTAATGTGGTACCACTTTATATTAAGACATTTCAGTTGTTTAAAATTAGTTTATAAATGTCATCAACCTTAATTAAACCTTACTTAAAAAGTACTTATAACATATCAATAAAAAGGGCAACAGTAACTTGTTAGTCAGCTCACATTCGTCTACGCTGTTAAACCTCAGATGTTGTTGTTTGACTATTTTAACTGTGTTTTCATCACTTCCTACTTTGTTCTTTTAATTATGCATTTGTAACTATATTAGCAGAAGTCTTTCTGAGGGGCTGGATCTCAGGAATGTTATAAGCTGTATTATCATCTAATGCTTTTATTTTTCTGTTTGTGTGAAGCACTTTGAATTGCCACTCTGTATGAAAGGTGCTATAAAAATAAACTTGCCTTTCTTTGCATGCTTAAACAATTCTTTGCATGGTGAAATGGTTCTTCAAGTTTTCTCCTATTATTGATGTTAAGCTTGTATACAATAGCAGAACCCTTTTTGGTTCTGTATAGAACCATATACAACACATTCTCCCTCAATCTAAAGAACCATTTCTCAATGCAAAGAACCATTTATGCATGCAAGGGTCTTTGAGCATTCATGATTTTATGTAGAACTATTGTCTGTACCAAAGAACCCTTGAAGCACATCTTTTTAAGAGTCTGGTCTTATTGTAAAGTGATACCATTATGTTTCTCCCTAGCATGGCCTTTGTAGGATCCGTGCCAGCTCTGAGGCAGCCAGCCGCTTCTAAGAAGGCTTTGTTTGTCTGGAATTTGCCTGCTGGTTCAGGGTCAGCAGAATCAATACCTTTCATCACAGGGGGAAAAAAAACAACTTCAGCTGGAGTTTGGACACTTGCATGAAGCTTCTCCAAAGCATGGGGAGGGGTGGAGGATGTGGGGTGGTTAAACATGTTTCATACTGCTAGCAGATACATTTCAGCCATCCTTGCAAGCAGAATTAACTTAAGAGTCTTATATTGCCTCACAACAGCAGATTTGTATTTTAACTAATAACATAAGAGATGCTGAAGTGTGAGGCTGCAAACTAGTACTGTCTGAGGTGAGCAAATACAGAGCAGTGCAGTGTAGTGAGTGCAAACATTACATTAGTGTGAATGTAGAAAGCCAATATTGTGCAACTGCTGTCAGTTAGAGGTTATACATAGGTTTCACATGTATAAATATATAGCTTTAACACCATAAGTGCGTAAACTAGAAGCATTTGGAAACCTCAGCGTCTTCTAGATGGTCAGAGAAGGCCTAATGATTTCTGTGAAATAAAAAAAAAAACACATCTGCGATGTTTCATCCAATTTTGTTTAATAGAACCATCAAGCTTGTTGTATTTAAACTCTGTAAGTGTTGTAGTAATTCTCTTATTTCAAGTTTGGTTGGGCCCAAAAGGGTTAGAAGGGTTAGAGTCCAACAGAAAATTATCAAGATTGTTCCCTCTGTGGTATCTAAGTAGATGCAGCTGAGCTGCTTTCCCATTGGTTAGGACTTCAGGAGCTGAAGGCCTTACATGTTACATTAACTACCAACATAATTAGGGAGTGACAGGGGAATAAACCAATCACACTCTTATTTACAATGAGTGAGAAAAAATGTCACTCTAGTCCTTCTGAGGTTCTAGATATGTCACTATGTGTTATTATGAGCCATGGGCTTTTTGAAAAGGGTTCTATATAGCACCCAAAAGGGTTCTGCTTTGGGTGCTATATAGAACAACAAAAAGGTTCTATACAGAACTATATAGCTACAGCACATTCTCCATCAACCTGAAGAGCCCTTTCATGATGCAAAGAACCCTTTAATCATGCAGAGGGTTCTTTGAATGTTCAAGGTTCTATATAGAACCATTTTGTTTACTAAGGAACCCTTGAAAAACCATATTTTTGAGAGTGTAGTTGTTGGGAAAGTAAAACAGTTCCATGTTTAATCTAAAATGGCCAACAAATTTCATGCGAATTGCTGTTAGCTTAGTGCTAAAATGCTATTAATAATTATAGTGATGCTAGCAGGCATTATCGTAGAGGAGTTTTGACATTTATTGCTTGAAAAGAAGGTCTAGCTCTACTAGAACCCAATTCACCATTGACTGAAAGATAATAGAAAACATGTACATCAATCAGCAAGCAAGCTAGCAAGCAAAGTTTATTTATATAGCGCTTTTTACAACGGGTGTTGTCACAAAGCAGCTTTACAGAAAGAAAAAAAAAAACAGCATTACAGAAAGAAAATCTGGGTCCAAGCCCCCATGAGCGTCGCCAGTGGTGACAGTGGCAAGGAAAAACGCCCTAAGAAACAGGAAGAAACCTTGAGAGGAACCAAGACTCAGAAGGGGAACCCATCCTCCTCTGGTCAACACCGGATAGCAAACATTTTTAGTAGAGGTATTACAGTACAGAGCGGGAAAAACAGGTGGGGCAATGGTTAATTTGATTAGTTTATGATTATGCAGAGGCAGCAGCAGCATCGGAGGATTGCACAGCATTGTACAGCATGAAGCTCAATGGTGGTCAAGCCGGTCCAGAAGGCTGGCGAGCAGTGGCACCCGATCAAGGCACAAAGAGTCAGTTCTGTAATGAGTGACTGCTCACAGATTACAGTATAAACAGAGCAGCAGAGACTCCGTCAGGTCTGGATCTGACAGGGAAAACTAATTACCAAAGGCTTGACTATACAAGTTTTTAGCCTAGACTTAAACACTGAGGCTGTGTCTGAGTCCCAAACATTAACAGGAAGACTATTCCAAAGCTGGGGGGCTTTGTATGAGAAGGCCCCCCCCCCCCATGTAACTTTATTAATTCTAGGTGCTAAAAGTAAGCCAGTACCTTGTGATCTAAGTAGGCGTGATGGTTCATAGTGGGAGAGAAGTTCACTCAGGTACTGAGGGGTGAGTCTGTTTAGAGCTTCAATCTTATCCACAAAGGGCAGATTCAAAGCATTTGTTTTTAGTGAAGCTGCTTATTTTGGTGATCAACTCAGAAGTCATTTTAAGCCCTTTTTCTTGATGCCTTGCACCCACCCAGAGTCAGCATTGCTGCCCTCCGACTGTAATAAATGGTGTGCTTCCTTGGTAACCAACTAATGTAAATGTGTGCAACATATAGCCACTGTCCAAAAAAAAAAAAACTAAAAAAGGAATTTCCATTTCTTTTTTGATTTTTTAATTTTCTACATTATTTGAGTACACAAACCCTTTACATTGTGTGAAAATTCATGAGGAATGGACCAACAGAAATTCTTCAAAATCAGTTGGAATAAAATCTCTTTACAATAACTTTTACATTAATAGTAAGAAATGTTTTTGCCCTCCCCTGTTATAATTTTGGATGTATGTTTCTTATATTATTATTATTATTATTATTATTATTATTATTATATTTTGTGTAATAAGATTATTTGTAGCCACGTTTAGAGGCTTTAAACACTTTGGACCTCCGGTTCCTATCATGACCATTGTGAACTAGTCTGACATTTTCATCAAAAATAATTTAAATGTCTTTGTTTGTTTCTGAACAAGTGTACCATGCTGAAATTAAAAAAGGGTGGAGCTCTATTCTGTCCATGTTGAGGTACTTGTAGAGAACCTGATAGAAGCTTTTAGTCTGATATTAAAGCAGACTAACAGTAACAATATTTTTGAAGGTTCTGCTGAACATTCACAGATGATGTTGCTATGGGAACAGGGAAAAAATGACCCAAAGCATGTTATACTGGAACCCATTTAACCACATTAAATATCCATGCTACATTTTACCCCACGTTAGGTTGCGTCCCATTCACTCCTACATGTATACAAAGTTTGGGCGCCCCTGGTCAAATCAAATGTTTTGTTGATTTAAGTGAAAATAAGTTAATACATCATCTCCCAGGAACACACTTGAATATGATATTTTGCCATTGTTAGTGCACGAGTTCTATTTACTGTTTAACATGCTGGACAAAATTAAACATAAAATATAAAATGTGCCATACTTTATGCACAAGCCACATTTTGTGTTGTTTATTTTTTATGTTAAATTCAGTAAATAAACAGTAACTGTGTATTACAATGTGCAGAAATGTGCTCTCTGTAGAGGATATGTAACTGATTTACACTGAGAAAATCAACTTATACATGGAATTTGACCAGGGGCGCACAGACTTTTGCATGTGACTGTATATGTGTAGGAGAGATTTAACTGAGAGTGTTCTGCATTGGACTACATGTAAAATTACATGTCTATCAGTTTTTAATGTGTTTTGCATTGTTTATTAACATATATATGTAATATATGATATATAAGTGTAGTTATATTACAATTGGATGTAAAACCAAAAATCTAAATAGAAGTCATACAAAATAGCAATAATATAACAATTTCAGGCACTAAAATGATGTAACAGTTATATAACATCATGAACTCAATGGAAATTGTATTTTATGTACTGAGCCCCTTTTGGAAGGTTTCCAGTGAAAGAGGCACATATACACAGTATGTTTATGAACCGTGATGTTTGCTCCTTCTTATCTCAGCTCACTGTACTTTACAGGAGTGACTGATCAATTTTACAAAGTGCTCTTAGAGTATGTAAATACAGAGTGAAAAACAGCCCCACTGCCCTCCACTACCTGCACTGCCGCCCACTGCTGCTCATTGCCCCTCACTACTTGCACTGCTTTCCATACATGAGCATTTGAGTAAGAATAAAAAATAAAACAGTAAATAGAAAAACATTCATTTTCCAGATCTTTATAATGCTTCTGCCCCTCACTACCCACATGGCTGCTCACTGCATTCCACTACCTGCACTGTCCCTCACTGCCTGCCACTGCCCCTCATTGCCCCTGACTGCTCTCACTGCCCCTCACTGCCCTCCACTTCACTTAGTAATGCATCAGCACCATCTACTAAACATCACTTAGCTATATTAATTAATGTTAGTTAGTCGACACTTAA